TAAAATGATATTTAGAAGAAAAGTCGTTACATCTGCAATTAGACTAAATTTTGCCTTCCTTCAAGGAATGTACCAACTGCAGTCATTATACACATAGATTAAGTAAGCATGTGATTTATAGACGCAATTCGATTTTTCTCCATTTCTTTAAACTATTAGAATATCTTTTTATTTAAACCTAACGAAACAGTTGTTTCCACAACCTTGAGAATTTGGGAGTCTAGGTCCAATATTAGGAGAATCTTTGAAATCTTTCTAGGATTTCAATCACAGCCTGGCAATATTACCTCTGGTAGACAATTCTTTCAACATGCTTCATGGTTATGATTCCTTCTCTCCTACCCAGTCCCACCCTGCCATGGTCTGCTTTTGTAGTGCCATGGTTTTTGTGTTAGTCCATTTTTGTTGCTGTAAAGGAATACCTGAGGCTGGAAAATTTATGAGGAAAAGAGGGCTATTTGGCTCATGATTCTACAGGCTGTACAATCATAGCTCCATCATTTGCTTCTAGTGAGGGTCTCAGGAGGTTGCTGGTCATGATGGAGGGCAAGAGGAGCCACGGTCTCACACAGCGATGGATGCAGCAAGAATGAGAGGAGGAAGTTCCAGGCTCATTTAAATAACCAGCTTTAGAACTCAGAGTGAGAACTTACTCATTACCAGTAGGACCACACCAAGACACTCATGAGGGACCTGCCCCTATGACCCTAACACCTCCCACCAGGCCCCACCTCCAACACTGGGGATCAGATTTCAACATGAGATTTAAACAGGACAAAACATCCAAACCATATCAGCTTTCAATGGATTATTTTATTTTTGTTAAATCATTTTTTGTTTTCATCTACATACTACTGTATTTGTTGGTAATGTATCTGTCTTGCTTTTAGATTCTATTTTCTTGGCTATGTCTCATTGAGAATAGGACATGGTGAGAGGCTTTGAGATCTGTCTACACCACTTCTTCCCGTTGTCTTTAAACCTTTGGTGGTATGAGGAGGGGCTTCTTTGATCGTCAGATTTTTTTTTTTTTTTTTCCCCTGAATAGTGGCGAAGAGAACATTGCTTTGTAACCTAATCCTGGAAAGCCCCTCCTAATCTCAGTATTAACAATGTTGGCATGCATCACCTATTATTTTGTCAACATTACTGAACTTACAAAATCTGTGTGCTTGCTGTCTTTAGTGATGCAATCTTCATAAAGTTTTGCAAAAACGTAGAGTACTAGTCGCTAAATAAAACTTAAAATCTCTCTAGAGTATGAATTATATTTCTATGTATGCTTGAGTATAATCTGCACTTCCTGTTTCTACTTATAGGGTACAAACTTCTGAAGACAAAGTCTATGCATTTTCTCTCATATTGTTGTACCAAAAATATCATGAGTGGGCAAAGAATGATGTTGTTTATCATAATAAAAGGATTCATAATCTTTGAAACATATATTTCTATTTTTTTTAACCTAGAAAGTGCAGAAGATAGATGTTTGTATGTTGCAAGTTTTTTTTTTTTTTTTTTTTTTTAAACTGGTTTTAGAAATACTCATATGTAAACCCTCAACCCTCTTATGAAGAATTTTTTTATATCTAATTTTTGACAGAGTTTCACTCTTGTTGTCCAGGCTGGAGTGCAGTAGTGCGATCGTGGCTCACTGCAACCTCTGCCTCCCAGGTTCAAGTGATTCTCCTGCTTCAGCCTCCCAAGTAGCGGGGATTGCAGGCACATGCCAACACGCTCGGCTACTTTTTTGTATTTTTAGTAGAGACGGGATTTCACCATGTTGGTCAGGCTTGTCTCGAACTCCTGACCTCAGGTGATCCACCCACCTTGGCCTCCCAAAGTGCTAGGATCACAGGTGTGAGCCACTGTGCCTGGCCTGTATGTTGCAAGGTTTTGAAAGGAAAAATGGAAAACTGTATTTTATTTTCACTAACAGATTACAAGAAGGAGGTATTAGGGTTGAGGTAGCAGCCTTCTGATGGAGATTTGTTAGCTCAAAGGGCATCTGAGAGTTTTAAGTTCCAACCATTCATGATCACCGAATGGGCTAATTGCACTTAAAAAATCAGTCTGCATGGCCGGGTGTGGTGGCTCATGCCTGTAATCCCAGCACTTTGGCAGACCAGGGTGGGTGGATCACCTGAGGTCAGGAGTTCGAAACCAGCCTGACCAACATGGCGAAACCCCATCTCTACTAAAAAAACAAAATTAGCTGGGCATGGTGGCACATGCCTGTAATCCCAGCTACTAGGGAGGCTGAGGCAGGAGAGTCACTTGAACCTGGGAAGCGGAGGTTGCAGTGAGCTGAGATCATGCCATTGTACTCCAGCCTGGGCAACAAGAGCAAAACTCCATTTTAAAAAAAAAAAAAAAAAAAAAAAAGTCTGCCATCATCAATAAACAAAATTGTGTTGGATTTTCTTAAATATTTAACTACCAGATTATGACAAAACTGTACATATTGTAAATTGATCCTGAATCTCTATAAATTTAATTTGTGAAATTCCACAAATGTTAGATACTATAAATTTAAAGAGCTGTGGACTAATAAATTGTTCTATTTCAAAATATTTAAGCCTTCCCTCTTAGTCCTGAACTAGCTAAGGAGCTGCACTTCCAAAATGCATTTAAAAAAGAAAATTTAATCAGGGGCATATAAACAATATTATAATAGATAATAGTATCTACCCAACTAATCAGCATAATTTGAATTTAATGAAGGATTACTGTCATGCATTTATTACCCTTACAGGTCGATGAAATTTAGTTTAGTTCAATTTTTATTTATTTATTTTTTTTTAAAGATAGATTCTCACTCTATCACCCAGGCTGGAGTGCAGTGGCAGGATCACAGGTCACTACATCCTTGACCACTTGGGCTCAAGTGATCCTCTCACCTCAGCCTCTCTAGTGGCTGGGGCTACAAGTGTGCACTACCACACCCGGCTAATTTTTGTAGTTTTTGTAGAAATGGGTTTTTGCCATGTTGTCCAGGCTGGTCCTGAGCTCCTGGGCTCAAGCGATCCTCCTCTCTCAGCCCTCCAAAGTGCTAGGATTATAAACAGTGAGTGCCCGGCCAGGCGTGAGCACCCAGCCAGTTTTGACTTTTGCTGGAAATAATTTTTAAGCCTTTGTCAGAAATGGCACAAAGAACTGATGTAGGAATTTACAGACTTTTGAGAGTTATTTCCTTTATAGTCAAAAGGATACAGAAATAAAAGTTAGATTACAAAACTGATCAATATCATGTTCTTAAAGGTTATTTGTATCATAACTTTTTAAAAATCATGCTTCTTAGTTTTTTTAAAAAAATAGAATTTTTAAAAACATTTAGCAATATTTAAAAACCTTTTGCATTATCAGTCTCTGTTCCTTGTCGATTTTTAGGAAAAATATATATTGCATTATTTTTCATTGTGCTATTTGGTGTTTCTCAAAGAGTGACTATGTTGTGCATTAGAATTATCTGAACTGTGAAAAATGTGGACTCACAGGTCATATTCTCATATCAAATGCTAATTTGATCCCTGGGGTTTGGATCCAAGCATCTATATTTTTAACAAACATTGTAGATTATTTTTCTTCCTAAGGTCTGGGAACCACTGGTATAAGTGATTTTTAGCTCTTCAGACCGACATAAGATTTTGAATGCTAATTAAAATGGCTGCTAATTTGTGAATAATTTCTAATTGAACCCCAGGCAATCTAAAGAGATGAAAAATTCATTGTGAAAAACACAAATAACAGTACAAAATAAATTTTTAATTGACCTTTTAGAATCACTAATAATTGCTTTGTAGAAAACCTTTTAAAGCTGAAATTTAAAAGATATTGTTTTTAAAAATTACCAAGATAGCTACTATAAAATATGATTACATGCCATGAACTGAACTATATCTCCCCAAAATTTGTATGTTGAAACTCTAACCCTCAATGTGATGGTATTTGCAGGTGGGGCCTTTGGGAGGTGATTAGGTTTAGATGAAGTCATGAAGATTGAGCCCTCAGATGGAATTAGTGCCCTTATAAGAAATCTGAGAGCTTGTGCTCTCTCTGTTCTGTCTCTCTCTCTCTCTCTCTCTCTGTCTGCCATATGAGGACACAATGAGAAAGCCACAATCCGACAGCCAAGAAGGGGGCCCTCACCACAGCCTGGCCATGGCAGCCTCCTGATCTTGGCCTTGCAGCCTCCAGAACTGTGAGAAAATTAATTTCTGTTATTTAAGTCACCCAGTTTATGGTACTTTCTCAAACTAAGACACCATAGAAGTGTAAGTTTTAAAAATATCAATACATTTAGTTTTATTAATTCCTGTCCCTGCACATATAACAGAATGTTCTGTTATAAAATTAAAAACAAATTAGAATCTTCCTAATTCAGTACGTTCTAAGAAATACTCTTTGACAATAATCAATAAAATAAATTTGCAAAACATGTCAAATCACATAGAGATAGCCTTTCTCACATAGGTTGTTGGAAAATGGTTGCATCAACTGAATTTTTCATGTTTTACTTCAGATTTTCAATTTTAAGTTTATAGATTTATTTGATTAAAATAAAGGCTATTATGAATAGGTTATTAATAAAGGTTATAAAGTTCTGTGCCTATGATGTGTTATATAAATGGTGTGTTCAGCTTTACTAGTTAACGCTGCTGTTGTATTTGATGCTACTTCAGTGACCTTTTTTTGTTAGTTTATTGTTATGTAAAATTTAGTAAAATCTTTCTTTGCATGAAATCTTCCTGATTAATTACTGCCACATGGAATCATCTTTTTTTTTTTTTTTTTTTAGACATAGTCTCACTTTGTTGCCCAGGCTGAAGTGCAGTGGTGCCATCTCGGTTCACTGCAACCTCTGCCTCCCAGGTTTAAGAGATCCTCCTGCCTCAGCCTCTGGAGTAGCTGGGACTATAGGCGGGCACTATCATGCGCGGCTAATTTTAATTTTTGTATTTTTAGTAGAGATGGGGTTTTTACCATGTTGGCCAGGCTGGTCTCGAACTCCTGACCTCAAATGATCTGCCTGCCTTGGCCTCCCAAAGTGCTGGGATTACAGACGTAATCACCAGTAAACCACCGCTACTGGTCTGATTCACCTAATCTTTATTGTCTACTATATTCAAAGTGTTGAGTGTGACACCAACTCATTTAAAATTTAGTCTGGATTCTCAAGAGTTTGTAATATAATGAGGAAAAAAAATCCCAACTTTCTTTTACTCGTATCTCCATGATGTCATTTGCCATCAACGGTTTGGAATATCACTGAAGTCCAAGGGCCTGTGGCTACCCAATATTCCAAATACAATATAATTTGGTTCAAATAAGATACTAAGAACTTTGGTCAAACACAGGAGATCTGGAATCTAACGGCCTGTCTTTGGCAATTCACAACTTCTCTCTCTACGCGTTTCTCTATGTAGAAAGGAAAGGCCTTAGAAAGGACAGATGAAAACCAACCCTAACACTCCACGATGCCTTTTCCTGTACTACGAATCTAAAAGGATGAGCTATAAAGTAAAACGTTGCACTTGGTCCAAGTCATTGAAATATTTGCAAACGATGCTAGAGCTTGAAAAGAGCAAGATAGCAGAAACCGTCCAGAGAAAGTAAGTAACCCACTGCAGAAGCTCTGCAAACTGAGCAGTCAACCAACTTCACGGCTCAAAAACGTTTGGCCGCTGGGCGTTGTGACTTTCTGCCCAGATAAAAGTCTTTTTTCTTTTGTTTCATTTTTTTCTTTCTCCCTGCTTTGCCGCGTGAGATTACCATTCCTCGGGTCAGCTCGCGAACGCCAGGGAGGCGAGTGTGAAACACACGCCCCGACACCCCTCCTCCTCCTCGTGCGCTCCTCCTTCCTACAGAAAAATGTGTTTCTAGGCAACGGCGGGCGGCGGCGTCACTTCCTGCCATTTAAACTCAGGTCCCCACCCCTCGCAGCCCCTTCTCCTCGTTTCCACCCCCTCCCCCCACGGTCGTGGGCCTCATTCACGCTTCCCCGGGCTTGGGGAGGGGGCGGAGACCCGGCGTGACAAGCGGCCGAGACTCCCGTGGGCGCCGCACACCTGTTGTTTGCAGCAGCCAGCGACCAGTACTGCCGCTCTCGACCGGCGGGGAAGCGGCCGCAGCGGAGCCGACCCGGCAGGTGGCCGCGGGCGGGGCCGGCGAGGGAAAGTGCGCGGGGGCCCGACCACCGCGGGGCCGGGACGCGATGGCGGCGGCAGAGCCCGCGAGCTCGGGCCAGCAGGCGCCGCCAGGGCAGGGGCAGGGCCAGCGGCCGCAGCCGCAGCCTCCGCAGGCGCAAGCCCCGCAGCCGCCGCCGCCGCAGCAGCTTGGGGGCGCCGGGGGCGGCAGCAGCAGGCACGAGAAGAGCCTGGGGCTGCTCACTACCAAGTTCGTGTCGCTGCTGCAGGAGGCCAAGGACGGCGTTCTGGATCTCAAAGCGGTGAGCTCGGGAGGCGGGGACGGGGGCGGACTTCGGAACCCGTGGGTCCCGGGGAAGCCCAGCCCCTCGCCGCGTGGGTCTAGCGGCGTGGTGTAGACGCGCCTAGCGGGGACCCGGGACCGGACAGTCCGAGGACCATGTGGCCTGCGCCCAGGTCCTGGACGCCAGGATGGGGGAGGGACGAGGGACCAGGATGGCCCCGAGCGGACGCGTAACCAATAGGGCCCGGCGCCACGCCGGGCTCTCGACAAAGAGCCCAGGACCTCGAGCGCGCCCGCGTGGCTTCTGTCTCCGGGCGCAGGGACCTGAGGGCAACCGAGTGTCTGTTGCTCTGCGTCCACCTGTGGCAGAGGCTCACGGGGTAACGGGCGCTTTGCCCGGAGACACCGTGGATATCGATTTTGCTGTTAAGAATGGATGGTTTTAATAGGCAATTCCAGTTGGAACCATGTTCCTGTAGTTTAAATAAAAAGGAGGAAAAACAAAACCCAGTCTGCCATCTCTACCAGATGAAAGGAAAAAAAAAAAAAGACTACTTCTTTCCACGCCCCTCCCCGATAAAATAGTATTGTCTTCCTTATGCACTTCTTTCATCACCCTGATAGTTAGGAGGGGTATTTGATTTGTGACTTCATGTGGCATGTGGCATAGGTTTCTAAAAATGAGATCTGCTATCACACAAAAAGGGGATATTTTACAACTTTCATCCAAAGAGGTGGAAGTGCTCAGTAAACTTTCTCCCCGCGTCGTCCTTTACTGCGTTCAGATTTTTCAAACAGGAGCAGGCATCAAAAGCTGTTCTGTCATACAGAATGACTTAACCGATCTAGGAAGGATTTGGAAGAATTCAACAGCGCTCAGGATAAAGAGAATGTGGTCACTCTGCGCGCTAAGTTTAAGAACCAAAGTTTTAGAAACAAACAAAAAGTACTAACCGGTCAGTAATCACTGCAAATCCCCTTTGACTCCCTAAATGTGTCCTTGGAGGATTGGGACCAGCACCCAGGGGAGTGCCTGGACCACCTTACCTGGCTAGAGAGTGTCACTGCATTCTCAAGGCTCTGCATAAAGCAGTGGCAGCTCCCTGAATGTAAGGGCCAAGACTTGCAGGGGCCAACTCTTCTGCTAGAGGCCTTCCTCCAGTGTAGCCCAAGGGGAAGTAGATCTTTCAGTGCCCTCTCCGTTCCCTGGATATAGTTGGTGTTCAGTCAGTGATTGTTGAACTGAATTATCTAAATTGTTCAACTTCATACAAGTGAGGCATGCTGCACATATTTTGCATTTTGGTAAGTAATTTCTACTATTTTCTTTTTGAAACGTTATTCCTGGAATTTTTTTTCCCACCTCTAGAAATTCCTTGTTCTCTTTTTTCCACCACAGCCCCTTTTTCCATTCTCTCCCTGAAAGTGATGTATGGCATGTGTAGTATTTAAACTGTAGTGAATTAAAATGGATTCTGTTTAAAGAATTTCTCAGGAAGTCATGACGTTATCAGAGAAAGCCAGGAATGTTACAAAGTACAGGTTGCAAACTGCTGTTCAAAATCTAGAAATTCAGCTGTAGCCTGTGACTTTATTGTAAGAAAATCAGGGAAGTTTGGAGTTTTCCGGATAAAACTGAACTCTGATGACCAGACTTTGAGGTCTTCTCCCTCAGCTTGCCTCAGGACATGGTGTAACTTTGCCCTTTCTTGACTTGAAATTCTTTAGCTTCCTCCTGTTTCATCTGTGGCCATATAATTACCCTACAGAAGTCACAGAGGCAGTGAGTAGGATACAAAGTTTGATATTTCATAGCAATAATTGCTTTATTCATTCTGGAACTCTCTTAAAAATTTGAAGGTTTCTACAATAACACTATGTCTCATATTAATGACTTTATACTCCTAGAAAAGAGTTTGAATGTCATTAGTTTTCGTATATATGTATGAAAAACATATACATTTTATGTATTTTACATCTTTTTCATTTATTTATATATACTTATATATGTAAAAATCTTACATTGAAGTCTTTCTAATGATATTTCTTGTTGTACACCATAGTAAAAGATCATTAAGACTTTTTTTTTTTTTTTTTTTTTGAGATGGGATGTCTTACTATCACCCAGGCTGGAGTGCAGTGGTGTGATCTCGGCTCACTGCAACTCTTGCCTCCCGGGTTCAAGCAATTCTCCTGCCTCAGCCTCCCAAGTAGCTGGGATTACAGGTGCCCGCCACCATTCCCGGCTCATTTTTGTAT